CACTGGAGATCCACTTGTGTTGGGTAAGAAAAGGAACGACTGCAATTCTTTACTCAAGTGTTTGTGGGCTTCTTATATGTGCTATTAGGATCACACCAAGTAAGTTTTGCCTAAGTTGTAGAATGTCTGCAAGAATTGTCTCATCTAATAAATTTACTTTAATAAAAGTATACTTGATTTGGTAGACCTTGATCCTCCAATAGAAAGTGTAAGCAGCATACCGCATGGTAAGAGTCATGTACCTATAGACACAACGGTTGGAATTAGCCCAATTGTGTGCACTATAACAGTCGTCGTCATCATCATCATATTACTAACGCTTGATATTCTTTGGAAGAGAGGCCTCCTAAGATGACAAAAAACAATGGAGGATGGTATTTCTTGTTTCTCTGTTATACTGTTTATCATTCGATTCAATAGTTGTAATATGAATAATTGAAACTGCCTCATCCAACTCAAGTTTCACTAAATCAACATATGGAGGTTAATATCTATTTTAGCCTCTCTTAACTTGTTTCTAGAACAATTTGAACACATAAAGTAGAATCCAAATAGCAGTATGATGTGCACAACATGACATTCATTTCAATAATTCAATTTTGAAGTTGTTTCATCCAAAAATAGGGTTATAGCAGTACGTATGAGTAGGCATGCTAGGCCAACTTAGTCTATTTATATGTGAACTGGGTTGACCTAGTCCATTTATTGGCGAGCACATTTCCAGCTTAAGGTCGTTATTGGATTGGACAACGAGGCACAAGATCTATGTTAGTATAGTGAAAAATTTGGTTTACATCTATGAGGAATCAAGTTTGAAGGTCATTCATAGAGATATCAAGACTACTTAATGTGCTACTTGATCAAAATCGTTACCTAAACATATTTGGCTATGAATTGGCCAAGCATGATAAAGAGGATATAACGTGCACAATGTCAGAGAGTTTGACAATATTACTGTTCATGTAGCACACTAGAGATCCCCTTATACTAGGCAAAGAAAGGAACAACTGCATTCTTTACAAAGATACCTATGGGCCTCTTATATATGTGATTCGTGTGACACCAAGTAATTTTTTCTACGTTGTAGAATATCTGCAACCATTCTATCATCAAGGGAATATCTCTTAATTCCTTTGATTATTACATGAATCTAGTTTCTAGTCATTCGTCTCAAGAAAACTCGTAAGCTCACCAAAACTTGTAATTCAGTGTTCATCAAACATCATAAGATACATGTATGACTGAACCATAATTCTTTCAACGAGTATGTGGTGCTTGAAGAATGACCTTCCTTGCTCCTCAAAACTGACATGTGAGTTAAGGTTCATTTAATTTTTTTTCTTTCAAGGACATTGATAGGATGCTAGGATCATCTTAGTAAATTGGTTGGTTGTATTGTCTACTGAAGAATCAAGTTGAGGGTCATACATATGACGAAGTTGAGGGTCATGCACATGCATATCATTTTATATTTATTAATTGTGGAGGGAGGAAGACGAAGTTGAGGGTCATACATATGAAAATGACTTAAGCATTGTTGGACCATCAACCTTTGTTTCATCGTCTTAAGAGTAGGGCTATAGTAGTATGGTGGTGTACATGAACAAGTTTGATGCAAATTACATTGCAACAAATGCATTATCTTTAAATATAACCAGTCCAGATTTTTATCAAACATCGCAAAATGCCCTCTCTCACTCAAGTAGTATGCCTTTCGCATGTTGAAAGGCAGCTAAAAAGTGTGCCTCTATTATGCGCCAATTTGAACATATAAAGTAGAATATGAATAATAGTATGATGTGCACAACATGGACATTAACTTTAATAATTCAATTTTGAAGTTGTTTTATCCAAAAATAGGATTTTAGCAGTACGTATGAGTATGTGTGTTGGGCCAACCTAGTCTATTTATATGTGAGCTGGGCTGACCTAGTCCATTTATAGGCAAGCACGTTTCAAGCTTAAGGTTATTATTGGAATGAACAACGATGCACAAGATCTGTGTTAGTTTGGCAAAAAGTTTGGTTGACATCCATGAAGAATCAAGTTTATATGTCATTTATAGAGATATCAAGGCTACTTAATGTGCTCTTGATCAAAATCATTACCCAAAGATATCTGGCTATGAATTGGCCAAACTTGATAAAGAGGTTATAACAAACAGTGTTAGAGAGTTTGACAATGTTACTGTTCATGGAGCACATTAGAGATCCCCTTATACTGGGTAGGGAAATGAACGACTGTCATTCCTTACAAAAACATCTATGAGCCTTTTATATCTACGATTAGTGTGACACCAAGTAAGTTTTGTCTATGTTGTAGAATATCTGCAACTACTCTCTTAGTAAGGAAAATATGCTAATTCATTTGATTATGACATGAATCTAGTTTCTAGTCATTCGTCTCAAGAAAACTCGTAATTTCACCAAAAACTTGTAATCCAGTGTTCATCAAATATCATAAGAGACATATATGATTGAGCTTTAATTCTTTCAACGCATATGTGGTGCTTGAAAAATGACCTTCTTTGTTCCTCAAAACTGAAATGTGAGTTTAGGTTCATTAAAATTTTCTTTTATGAACATTAATAGGATGCTAGGATCATCTTAGTAAATTGGTTGGTTGTATAGTCTAGTGGTTTATTGATACTTTTGTTGGATGTTGGTTAGTCTGCTAATTCTCTATATTACTAGGATTGTTTAGACAAAGGGTCCGAGTTGAATATTATGTGTTTGTATCTGCTTTCTCTTGTTAACGAGTTGATGGTTTGTGAGCTTAGAGTCAAGGTTCAAACGAGGTTTAACAAACATCCAACAACTTATGAGTTTATGGTTGTGATATGGTGTCATATATATGAATTTTGGTGTATAAATCTTTTACTATTCTAGTCACACATGCAGATCATTTTATATTTATCAATTGTGGATGGAGAAAGACGAAGTTGAGGGTCATTTATATAAAGATGACTTAAGCACTGCCAGATCATAACACTTTGTTCCATCATCTCAAAAGTAGGGTTATAGCAGTATGGTGGTGTACATGGACAAGTCTGATGCAAATTACAATGGAGCAAATGCATTATCTTTGAATATGACCGGTCCAAATTTTTATCAAACAACGCCCGTTGCCCCTTTCTCATTGGATTAGACAACGAAGCACAAGATCTGTGTTGGTATAGTGAAAAGTTTGGTTTACATCCATGAGGAATCAAGTTTGAAGGTCATTCATAGAGATATCAAGGCTACTTAATGCGCTACTTGATGAAAATCTTAACCTAAAGATATATGAATATTGATAGGCGAAGCTTGATGAAAAGGCTATTACACACATTGTTAGAGAGTTCAACAATGTTACTGTCCATGCAACACACTAGAGATCCAGTTATATTGGGTAGGTAAATAAACGATTGTCATTCCTTATAGAGATGTTTATGGGCCTTTCTTATCTGCAATTTGTGTGAGACTAAGTAAGTTTTGCCTATGCTATAGAATATCTGCAATTACTCTCACATCTACTAGATTTACATTTACTCTAATAAAAATATACTTGTTTTGGTAGACTTTAATCCTCCAACAAGAAGTGTAAGTACCATATTGCGTGGTAAGCGTCACGTACCTACAGGCACAACTGTTGAAATTGGGTGTTTTACATCAGTAAGTTTTCCCTATGTTGGAGGATGGTATTTCATGTTTCTATGCTATATCATCTTTTCTTTTCATTGTTCCATTGCTTAGAACATCTCTATCATCTGATCTACAGCCGCATTATAAATAGTTGAAACTGCCTTATGGCTCGTTTGGATATACTTTTAAAATGACTGAAAATGCTTTTGGTGAAATTGATTTTGTGTTCTAAAAGCACTTTAAGTGCTTTTTCGAAGAAGCACCAGATATGTGCTTCTTGCAGAAAACACTTAAAATGCTTTTTCAGGATTTACTTGGATTTTTACTAAGAATTGGTTTCAAAAATATTTTTACCAAAAGTGCTTTCAGCCATTTTAAAAGCATATCCAAACGAGCCCTTATGCATGTCGAATTTCACTAAATCAGCATGTGGAGATTAATATCCATTTTAGCCTCTTAACTTGTTACTAGCAAAATTTGAACAAATAAAGTAGAATATAAACAGTAGTGTGATGTGTACAACATGAACCTTAACTTCAATAATTCAATTTCGAAGTTGCTTCATAAAAAAATAATAATAATAATAAAAAGATTATATTAGTACTTATGAGTAGCTGAGCCAAGCCGACCTAGTCCAATTATAGGCAAGCACGTTTCAAGCTTAAGCTTGTTATTGGATTGGACAACGAGGCACAAATATGTGTTGATGTTGGGAAAAGTTTGGTTTACATCCATGAGGAATCAAGTTTGTAGGCCATTGATATTGAGATATCAAGACTACTTCATGTGCTACTTGATGGAAATCTAATTCAAAGATATCTAACCACGGACTGACCAAGCTTGATGAAGAGTTTGTAACACAAAAAATCAGAGATTTTGACCCACTTACTGTTCATGTAGCACACTAGAGATCCACGGAGCCACTGCTATTCCTAACAGACGTGCCTATGGGCCTCTTTCTGATTTTCTATCGTACTTGCACGCATCTTAAATTCCTGACAACTTTTACTTGTCAGATTTTAAGGTTGATACTTTGGAGGAGGGGCGGGGGTAGGGGGCCTATCTGCTGGTGCTATTACCCGTACAGTAGTAGCCGCATTTGTGTGTGTTGTATCATTGCTGGTAAGTAGCTCTCAGCCAAATCAAAGCAAGAGAACCGTGAATTTATTGACGAGATAGGCATATGATATCAGCTTTGCAGCACCCAAACCTCATGAGGCCTTTCGGTTGCTGTATTGAAGGAAACCAGTTGCTGCTTATATATGAATACATGAAAAAAAAACCCTCTTCTCTTTAGAAGGCCAAATTTTTAATTAGTGAACATTACAAGCAAATAAAAAAATAAAAATAATAAGAAAACTAAAAGGTAAAAGAAAATAAGCAGTGAAACAGGTAACATTGGTATAATTAGCAGTAGAACATGATTCACATATTCACATGTGGTATTGTTTTCAGAGCTTGAGACTGAATATATACACTTGCATTTTGCACACTCCATGGGCCTATGCAATCAAAATTCGAGAACATTATTTAACTGAATCGAGAAGTAAGGTCGACCAACATTGGAAAGAGGAGTATCCACTCTTAATACGATCCCCGAGTCCCCGACATTTCCATTCCACTTGGATCTGCCAACCTGAATGCACAAGACCATACAATAAAGAAGAAGACATTAAGATACAAATGAGTACGAGAAAGTAAGTGTTTGTATATTGTAAATTAACAACTTGTTGCAAGTACAACTTATAGTAAGAAATAGGAGTAGGATTCTATTTTCTCCTAATCTTTCTTCCCTTCGCTCCCTCCTCTTTGAATGGTTACGATTGTAAATAAATAAAGCTGAAAGGCTTACACCTCGCCTAGCGAGGCATAAACGCCTCAACTTACGCCTTCGCCACTGGAAACATTGCTTTATACAACAATGAAGCAAACAGCTTTCCAATGAATATGGTCTGTAGTAACTCTTGTATTTTACTTGGAAATCATGAAAAAACCAGAGTAATAAAATTTTCTTGAGATGTTTACATGAAATTAAAAGCTTAAGAATTTAAAAGGTGACAAAGCTTGCTCTACGTTGTGAGAATAAGTGAGATCCCAGAGAACTAAAGGATAAAAATGATAAAATATGCACTGGTGTCAGCAATAACATACCGATACTGAAGCAAAAGCAGAAGGATGTGCTGTGAATGCACAACCACATATCAGATTCAGCTGCTCCTTCACTGAGTGAATGAGCTCTGCCCGCAAACCAGGATTGCTTCCGCCAAAAGTGGGACATAAACTGACCATTTTAAAATTCCGTGGAACATGTCAATACCAACTATCATGAATGTTAAAATTGCACATGAAAATGAAAGATGACTATGTATGTGTTACTTGACCCGGTTAAAAAAATGTCAATATTAATGATATGCACACGCTTCACAGGGATGTAAGAAAGTAGTTTAAAACATGCTCAGTACCAATTTTCCCTCGGCAAAAGAAATCTGATGTGAGTTAACCCTCTAATGATCAATATCACAACTTAGGTCACATAAACATTGCAAGTCAAAGATACCAAAGTTTCCAACCATTTTGTAAAGCTACATGCAGACACGCATCATATGCATGTATCACCTCGTGTAACTCTATGAAATATCACAACAAAATTACTCTTATTAAGCTCCAATTCAACTTGAGAACACACCTTTCGCCCAACCCAACCAACAGAATCATAAATAGCAGGGAAAGAATTAAGATTGCAATGGGAAAGTCCTGCTGGAACCATCAGTGACCTCAAAGACGTCTTTTGGACCTAGCCCTTTTAGGGTAAAAATATTATAATGTTATTCTTCGTATTTTGGTGCAATTTTTTGTCCACAAGAAAACATGTGCAGAGGCCAGAAGGGAACGGTAATAGCACTTAAACATCATATTATCATGTGATCCAGAACAGCATAAGTAACATTCGTTTGAGTATTTGACTGGGTTATTAATTATTAACTTATCATAGAAACCAGTATCAACAACCCATATACCTCTTTTCCTGTAAACCCTCAACATAGCACACGAATGCAAGAGAAGAACTTTTATTATGGAAAGACAATAATGCACAGCTAAAATATACAGAGACGTCATAACCTAACCTGAACTGTATTGTAGGCCTCACCATGAGACCAGATCGCTGCCAAGCCAAGGCTTGTGAAAGACCTAGTGTAAAAGACTTGTCTGGCCATTGTATCACAGGTGTGATGCGTGTTCCCCACTTATTCTGAAACAAAATAGATTTAAATAAACTTAACTCAAATAAAACAACAGAACTAAGTGTAAAATAGTCTTTATAGGTACAAATTGAGAACAAAACTACTACGCTTATTTGTTAAAAGCATTTTCCTAGTTTGCAATCTAACCTTGCGAGAGAAACTGAATCTCATTTCTCCAGGATATTGACCTTGAGCTTGTAGAAGGCCACCACAAAGAGGTAAGAAAGCACTTGTACTAAGTCCTTCACCAGATATATATGTAAATTGCCCGTTTGGAAACTGTAAATCAACAAATGACTGGGCACAGAGAGAACATGAGATCAGTGAATCAACCCCAGAAACCTAATAATAGTGTTGACACTGAAAAACAAATATATGAAGGCACAAAAATATGTATGCTAAAGTAAGTAGTCAACTTACACAGGCTAAAGGTTTCAGGCAGACCATTGACATTAAGAGCCACCTTCTGTGTTTTGACCACACGGCCGGACAAAGAGAATGCATCCCATTCTGATAATTGAAACAAAAGGGTATATGAGAACACGGCAAGGAAACTGGAAGATGTGAAGAAGCATCAAGCTGCTATACATGATATAGTCCCTCAATAGTTCACCCAATTCGTTTTACTTTCTTGCACACCTATTGGTGCATTTGATACTCTCCTCTGGTGACTTCTAATGAGACTTTCACTCATTATAAAACAGTCACACACAAGGTTTTTCCTTTCTTATGCTACTAGTGATGCACTGACAAGATTTTCAAACAATTAAGAATAATGCTAGGTAGAAAAGCTATTTCAAATAGTCAATTTTGGATGTCGAGGGAAAAGAGATAAGTAGAGCACAACTCGAACATAATCAAACTTGAGTTCCAATTATCCTTACATCTCTAGATAGATAGTACCCCTATTCAAATTTATGGTTAGCTTTGATGAATAATTAGTTTTACACTTGCACGTAACAAATTGGTCAAAAGAATTTGATCATACCTTCTTATCATAGCCATACCAAAGTAGGTGTTGCTTTGACAAATGCACAGGAAGAAGAAGAGTTGCATCACGAACAAAGAGTACCGGCCCAAGCTGGACAAGGAAAAGTGATGAATTGTCATTTCTAGATGTGGAACTGCCACTAGAAGCCTCTACTCTCCATAAGTCTCCCCTTGCAAGGAAAGAACTTTCCAGCTTACGGGTTCTAGTATCATAACTTGTGGTGGTATTTACAGTCCCCTGCAATCCAGCACCCCACCAAAAAAAAAAAAAAATCAAAATGCAGTCGGTAATTGCAGTACCAAGACCAAACATATAAAATTCCACACGATTGCAACTAATGGTTTGGGCGATAATTAATAACAATAAAGTAATGACAATGATAGCAACAAATTGATAGTGCTGACAGGATATCGGTAATGATCACCACTAGTTCAACTGACCAGTAAAATATAGATGTCAGTCCAAATACATTTCATGAGTAAATTTCCCATATCAATCAAACTTCTATATATCATAAACACAAACATATATTAGAAATTCCATTTCATGAGATTATTAGACACCCTGTAGATTATAGGCAATTGGTTATAGTTTACTATACCACTTATCATAACACTACAAAACTACCCATAAGAAAATAAAAATAGCATCCATTCAACAATTCTCCTCATCAGGATTTCTGGTTTGGCATACAACCTATCCTCGGAACAAAAAAATCATACAACCTATCCTAAACTTACTGCACTGTGCATAAGAAAAAAGACTATAGCATCCTATCACGAATTCTACCATCACATGAATTATTAAGCACCTTGCTAATTACATCAAATTGGTAAACTTTAATCTAGGACCTATCACATGACATATTTCCCATACCAAAAACATATAGAGCAAACTTTCACTGCTATCAGCACTAAGTGATTACCTATGAAACACAATCATGCTCTACCATAATTCATACGTAATTGTAATTCCTTTACTAGTGGTTCTGGTTCCTTAACAAGTTACAAATGTAGTTTGGCATCTCCAATTAGAAATGAAAGGTGCAACTAGTTCATACAAAAAAAACATAAGTTACATACTATACTAGTTGGTTGAAAAAACTTACCAGCGGTCTACCCAGAACACCAGCGGACCTTAGATTCAAGCCACCAAGTTCTTCATCCACCACACCATCAGAGCCACCATCACTCTCCACAGCCCTGAAATCCTTCAACCGTTCCTTCAGTGGCCCCAAATCTTCCGTACCACTCAAAATCATATCGGCTCTCTGCTTAACCTTATCCGAATCCATCCGAATTACTGCCAAATCAACATTCTCATCATGCCTAAACGGTACAGGTAAGGTCCTAAAGAACTGCTGAACCATCCCATTCAAGCACGCACCAAAATCCGCCCCTGCTTGTCCAATCCTGTTACCGATATCCAGAATCGCCGAAACCCCATTAATGCCCGGGTTCTCAGCCACCAACCCAACAAAATCCCTCTGACCAAAACTCTGGTTCGGGAATTCAAGGTCGAAGAGTTTCGATGTGTTAGGGCTTGGCCAATGAAACGACGGCGGAGTGATATGAGACTGAATCAAACCCGTGAATCCCTGCGTGAGGCGATCCGCCAAGTCCTGCCCATGGCGCTGCACCTCCTCCCAAGCTTCGAAGGACCTCTCGACCGACATTTCGACGAAATTTGAAAGCTTTTCCTGCTATTCCTCTGAAACAATCACAGCTTCTTCATAGCACAAACCAACGGGACGAATTCTCGAGCCAAAAACAATGAAATTTGGGATATTTAGCCACTGATTAGGTCAAACAAATCTAAAACAGTGAAATTACAATCCCAAGCTTGAAATTTGAGCTCTCGGGATCAGGATGTTCAGTTCAAATTCGAAAAGGAAAAAACCCAGATAAGTGAAAAGAAAACTCGGAGCTTGGAAATGGAAGCTGTCGAGCTTCTAGGGTTTTTCAGTCAAAATTCGCAAACAAAAAATCCCAAGCTGGAAAGGAGAAAGCGAAAATTGAGAAGGAGAAGTTAAAACTTGAATCTTCTGTGAGCTCCAAAGAAGCAACTGAAGACGAAAAGAAGGGGCATGGCCATTAATTAGGGTTTTTTATTTGGGAATTGCGATGGAGAGGAGGGCATTGGCCGGACGGAAATTGCGTAGGGTGCGTAGTGCGCACATAGTTTCCGTTAACGCTACGCTGGAGGGGAAAGGATGGTGTCATTTGTGGGGATGTGTGTCGAGTTAAGGATAGGGGTGAATGTTAGGCTCCACAGTTTGGTGGATGTAGAGCCCGTCACAGACCAATTACAAATTTTATTTAGATTTTTAACAAATTTAAAATATTTTTTTTGGGCTGATTTTAGTTACGCCCCTTGTACTTCAAGTTATTATTTTTTTGTTGGTTCAACTGCGGAAAATAGACATGCGTAAATAATTAGGATTTAGGAATTTTCTAAAAAAAGAAAATTACTTAAACAAATTAAATGTCGTCGACCAACAAAAAATACATTAATTTGTATCTAGATTTTATGAACTGGAAGAGAATTTTAAAATTTCCAATTGTTGATACGACCACGCTGATCAAATATTGATGCCATAATCTACAAGAGCCTGGCATGGGATCTTCATTAATACTAATTGGTGGTGTCACAGTTGCTTTATATAGAAAGTAAATCTGGCCGGAGTTTTGTACTAGAAGTTATTTCACTCTAGTAGAGTGCCGAATTTGCTCACGTCGCCACCATTTTAAGAACTAAATAACAATTGTCACTTATATTACATTTCAATGACATTCCTCTTCAGTTGTAAGTAAGAAGCTTAGGTTTGAATCTTAGAAATGATGAGTTCACAACTGTTCCTCTTTACTTGTAAGTTAAAAATCTTGTGTTTTCCGGCTTTTTCTTTTGGTCAAAGATAGTAAAAATATGAAGATTCAAAGCGACGAGGTTTTCTAACCTGCAGAGAAGAAAAGCTGTCAAAGCAACATACCGTCTGTGAGCGTTTGTGGTCCACACCAGATGAAAGGAATACCTCTTTTCTTTGTATAACAACAAAATCTAAAAGAACATAAATTTGTCGGGCAAATATCAATCACCGCAAAAGTCCTTAGCTTCGTACATGTAAGGAGTTATTCGTCCTTTCAGCTGGCAATGAGATATTTTGTACGTGTTGTAATGAGAAAATGTTTGTTACATGTCAGGAGCCAAGCAATGTTTTTGAAATAATGTAGACATGGCCAAGAAACTGGATAATTATGCCAAACACACAAGTATATTGTCAAAGAATATACAAAAGCCAATGGAAGAGAACACCATAAATCTATTCACTCTTGGAGAAGGTTTGACAATCGAGCTATAACCTAAATCCCCTTTGGTCATTGAACAGTAATTTCAATGGCATAACACACAACACAGGCAGCAGCAGCAGCCAATTCATACATGTACATGGATTCCTTCCAATCAAACTTAGGTTCTAATAAACAATGACCCAAAGGATTGTATAACCACCCTGTACCTTGAAATAACTAACTAAATATGACTTGGGAGAAAATAAAAACTAGGAAAGAAGAACTGATAAAATAAATGGAAAAGAGAGATCGATTGTGCTCACCCTGACTCCTTTTTCTCTTCCCTTTTATCTGGAAAAGCACGGGCAAGGAATCAAAGTTTTTCCTCTAACAAGTGATCTTTCAGTTTGTGCAATCTTTTTTCTGGGACGTAACATGATTCAAGTTCACTTCTTTGTGCAGTCTTTTACCTGTAAATAACATGGTTTAAGTGAGCAAACGAACAATTCATAACAAATCACTTGATGTTGCAAATCAAATGTTATGGTAGCACACCTTGTTCTTGAGCTCCCAAGAGTGAGCTCCAGATCATCTGATCCAGAGTCTTCGTGAATCTTCTCTCCTTCCCATGCCTTAACCAGTCCTGTTGTATTGCATCCAAATGCAAACTCATCAGAAATCACCTCAGACATTGGGATGTCTGCAGCATGATCGGAGCCAGCTGCAATGGCAGGAGAACAAGTCCCACTTTGCCCTGGAGTCCACATGCGGGATCCACCACCGGCTGAAACCTCGTCCTTAAACCCAAATGGGTTTGAAGAGACAAGGCTGAATGTTGGAGAAGTTGGTCCATGGGGAATCGGAATCCCAGCAAACCATTCTGGATCAGGAACAATCTGCCGTCCAGGGCTTGGTGGAGTAGAAGATGGCAGGAAGGGGTATTTCTGCGCAGCCCAACCTGGGCGAGCAGACTGGTCATCCCAGTCAGTTCTCATTCTCGGCGTCCTGGCAGTTGGGGAGCTTAATGGAGGGGTAACAGGAGCACTGATAGAGCCGCTGTGGACGTAGAGGTTTGGTAGTTTGGAAGAGGAGGCTGAAGAGGATGCAGATGAGAGGTTTCTGAGCCATGGGATAAGGGATCTGCTATCAGCATTTTGATTAGCAGCATAGGAAGATGATGTTGGGCTTGGGAAGGAGGAAGAGCCTGGGCTGGGATTGTACGAAGCACAATTACTTGGGTGGAAAGACGAGCTTGGGCTAGCTACTGTGGATCCACCCATCACGTCCATGCGTTCAACCGGCTTGCAACCCTGCATATAATTGAAGATGATTAGTGGCAGATAATAAAAAAGCTACATAGTTATGAAGTGAGCTATGGTCAAAGTTTCATTAAGAGAAAATTAGGCTGAAAATAAAACAAATTTGGAAGAACCCTCATCTGTTATGACCTTAAATCTAAGTCCATATCTTAAATGCACGTGTGTGTGTGCACGTGTTATTTTGTTAAATTCTAAGGGCCATATGTATTGAGGTGCCAGGTTGGGTAGTAGCAAGTAAAGTCCTATAATTTAATCATTTATCATGCCCTAAAAGCAGGCAATGGTGTGATATTATGGTGATAGAATGATTGCAAGAGAGCTAGCTAGCATAGCTGTTTGAATCCAAGTAACTCCTCTTTCAGAGGGAGGGAATACTGAGAGCAATGCACACCCATGGAAAATGTTGGCCCGAATTTTCAGGTATAACGGTCAACTATACCATGAGCAGGGAAATCTAGCTTCCAACCATGTTTACCTTACTTTCCAAGCAATGCAAAATTCAACTGTGATCCCTTTCAGAAACACTTAATCAGCTATGGTGCACACAAAAGGCAGGTGTGGAAGCATCAACGTAAACTCAATGAATCATCTCTTTTACTAATCTCGTATAAAAACACCACTACCAGCTGATTTGAAGTCTTGAACCAAAACCATATTGGGAAGACTTCAACACCACTACATTGTCTCTCAGGGGACATCTTCAGTTAACCATTAACCAATATTCTCGATGCACAGGAAGTAACTTAACTCAATTACACTTGTAAGGCGTGATTCTAAATACTTGTCAAATTACTCTACATAGGCTTTTCAATCCTAAATAATCAGCGAATTCCATAGCACCAAAGTGGCTAAAAAAGGTACCTTGCATAACAAGCAATTTAATTGAAGGATATTATCATATTATGGTAATAAAAAGTTTTATAATATGTAGAGGAATCAAGCTGGCATACAAAGTAAAAGATCAAAAATTCAGAAAAGGCTCTGCCTTTGTTTCCCATAACAAGGTAAAAGATCAAAAATTCAGAAAATGGCATACAAAGCAAGTGGGCATTTTGGGCAGTAAAGTTTGAAAATAATTTGTAAAGCGCATCTTCACCGCCTCGAGATCTACGTAGCTCCCCTGGGGTTTCAGACAGCAGAGTCTCCATCCACACAAAAGCATGGAGAAAGAGAAGGGAATCTAGTGCTCCCACGCGAAAAAGCGATCTCGCAGAAAAGAAAAAGTGAAAAAGAACAGGGCTGACTATAGCTAACGTACGCCACCCCACACAGTGAATTCTGTTACCCGGCTAACGTGCGCCGGTAGCAATTTCCCGGCCAACACGGGCCGGTGAACCCGGCGCTCGTTGGCAACTTCTGCTAGAATGCGCCACTAAAACATCGCTCCTACAGAGCAGAGCGATCGTACTTCCTCACAGATCATCTAAATGATGATCATTGATCAACATTCCAAACCAACCCCAGCTCCGTCGCGCGCACGTTAGCACATCCCGCTAAAATGCGCGGTCGGCGGAGTTTAAAAGCTTAACGGCAACTACCGTTCGAGTTAGCAATTTTTCTCGAGCTTAACGACAACTGCCGTTCAAATTTACCATTTTTATTGAGTTTTTCTACAGAATTTAGTATTAATCAATCAATCAAGGTAGAAATTTAATGGATACTGGAAATTAACAATTGAACAGCGGTTAAAAAGAAAGGAATTTTGATTTTTTTTACCTTGCGGTAAGTGGTACCGTCCAATTCGACGGTCCAACCGGCCTCGTCGCAGAGAGCCTTGAGGACCTCATTGTTGTCGCAGTGCTTCGGGAGCTTGTAGTTTCCATACATCCTCAGGCCTGCAAATATCTTCGCCGCTATGGCCCTCCGCCTCCTCTCTCTCCTCTTGTTGTTCTCTCTCTCCTTCGACGTCGGCAATCGCGTCCCCGACGTCATCTCCGATCAAGCACCCCCTCGCTCGCTGGTCCTGAAACGACGCCGTCAGCTCGTTAAGATTAAGCTGATAACTGAGGAGTAGTGTCAGAATCGAATCTTCGGAGGCTGAGGGAAGAAGCTCCGGCGAGACGACGGAGTTTGACGGAAGAATTTGGAGTGGGATTGGAGTCGACCGGGGACTTGAACTTGTGGAGGATCGGTGAATTGGATCGGATCTGTGGGGCGGGTGTTAATCGGGTCGGGTTAAAGGGCTAAGGGGAGAGCGCTGTCGAAATCGGACGGGAAAATACGAAGTGAAAGCAGAGCAGGAATGTCTGGGATTTGTAACGAGAGAGATTGTGGGAGAGGACTTGTATTTGCTTTTATTTTATTTTTAATCCATGCAAATAAAGTTGACCCCAAAACGATGACGTTTGCCCCTAGCGGAGCATCCAGACCGAAAGACAAAAAAGCTGATTAAGCGTTTATGGAGGTGAAGTCTAATTTCACAACCGTCAGTGTCGATTTTCGACACGTGTCCCCATCTCTGCGCTTCGTCCGCAACTGTCTCTGTCCAAAACGATTCGTCGTTTTTTCATCAATTATTTTTCGTTTTCGATTGATGAGGAAAATAACCACGCACTTGTGAAAGTCCGGCGCACGTGCCGGAGTGTTGGGGGTGTTGGCTCGATCGCGATGCATGCGCCACGCGTGGCAGAACTTTCACGTGACCGCACGCCAACAGCACCACCCTGCGGGTCCGACATTGGTTTCTGTTGGGTCCACTGCTCTCGCCAACGCGGAAGAAATTGACTTAGATAAGACTTCGTTGTATTGTAGACATTTTGACAGAAGAAATGAATGACAACTACCTTATTTCGTTCAACAAGTTGAAGTTGAAGGTTACTCATTAAGGAAAATTGTCCTTTTAATCCTACCATTTTTAAAGGAATTAGTACAAATATATTTTCTTTATGACTAACCTTCATCTTAGACAAAATAAAGATTTGTCATCCATTTCTTCCTCCACAATGTTTTCAATATAAGGAGTAGCTTTATCCAAGCCAATCATTCCTATTAAAACATGCCTTAAATCACACATCTGAACAATAACCATTAGGTTAAATAATCTAACTCTTATCAAATGTGCAACTTTTTTTCTTTAAAATATATTCAGACGTAAAACTTAAATGTGCACGTTTAATATGAACAAGAGAAAAAAAATCACTCAGTATTACGGTCTAGTAGTATTCCTCTTCACTTAGAAGTGAGAGGTCTTGGGTTCGAATCTCATGGATAGCGAATTCGATACCAAATTAAGCTGCCCATTGTGTAGCTTAGTCGAACTCCTCCTCTTCTTAGTGTAAAAAATATCAATATACTAAAAAAAATAATATATATACATAAACAAGAGAAAGTCCGGTCACAACTGCCATCAACCTTGCGCAGTTATGCTTATAAAATCCCTCAAAAAGTACAAATCCATTCAAAAGATTATGCTGCCGACTTCACTAGTTCTCGTTATTAAAAAAAAAAAAGCATTTGACGTACAAAATCACAGACATTCAGACAATCAAATACTTAGTTCTTGATCTTGTGCTCAATTTGGCAGGCAGCATAAATTAAATTAAAATGCACATGTCCGCTATTGCACCAGGTCTCGAGTTCGATTCCTTATTTATAATACTGCTGGTATCAAGGGAACTGGGTTTTTTTTTTCTTAGTTATTCTATGATTCTGTTTAGATATATGCAATTTGTTTTGCCTGCCTACAACTCAACTGCTGTTTCTGAACAGGAATAAATGGTCGGTCGGATTCGAGATATCAGCACATGCTGATGACCAAATGAAGCAAGCAAGAAGATTTTTGGATGCCCCAGATAGAAACAAGTCAATCATGGTGTCCAGTCCATCACTGATGGAACTTGGATGAATAAAATCAAAAAACCAGCAAAAACGAAAAGGATGTAACTCTTTATACACGGAATAGGTTAACGGAGTTAAGAATGAGTTAAGCATTTACGGTACATCTAAAACACTTTCAAATTCATACAGGGAAGCTAAATTACGCTTTAAACAGAATGTTGCACCTGAATCCTCGCTATATAAAAAGAAAAGGGTTCAGAACATAAGTAATCGAAATGGCACCAGAAGGAAGCAATTACCAAAGACAATGAGTCTCAGATTACCTGGAACATGTTCTGCAGATCTGAAATTAGCCTCCCAAAGTAGCTTCACTTAGCTTCAAAACCTCCTTTAGCAGTCGACTAACAGAAGACTTTACTTCGTCCAGGCACAACCAGCTCTGGAGGCACAGCATCCAGAGCATATAATGTGATAGTATTCATTACATCTCTAAGATCCAGATTCTTGGCACCTCCGTTCCACACATTCTGATTTGCAAACTTGCACGACTGTTTCAAGACACATTTACTGCAAACCTGAATGTGACCAAAACACAAAAGCACAATTAATTGAGCTGAAATACACCAGAAGAGGGAAAGAATAATAGGACAATTGGCTAACCTTGTCTTCTGGAATTTCAAAAAATTTACGCATTCTTTTAGCCCCAAAAACGCTCTTTCTTGCAAGGGAAGGGCAACCGATGAGGGCCACCTTTTTCAAGTCTGAGCCAGACAACCATCTGGAAAACCAAATTTCAAGGGCATAAGCATGGAGACTACTGATTATAAGACTATCAAACTAACAGAAATTACCAGCAACAAATGGTAATATTACACATTAAAAAGTTGCAGCAACTTGATAACGTCATGAAGTCATAAACACAATTTCCGAAAACTCTCATACATAGCTTGGTGTATAAAGCCAGAAATCAGACTGCCCTATATTGTTTCCGTACTTCTAAGGGCTGCTGAAATGGTGCATGGATGCAATGAAAATATTGTTTTGAAATTTGAAATCATCTCCAACCTTCTTTCTTCCTACGCCTCCACCGTACGACTTCTCAACTCTTGTCAAGCAGCATGATAATAGTCTCACTAAAGGTCTGACCCTGTCTGGTGAAAATTAGATATGGTCTGTACACTGTAGTGAAACCACAGACAATTTATGATTTCTCCCAGCTTGTATTACAAGGACTTTAGCTCCACAGGGATCCCAACATACTTTCAGCATCAAGAACATTTAAAAGCTATAGAAAATTAGAAAATTGAATGCCAAACATGACCTCATCAAGACTGCTGATTAGAAGACCAAATTTTAAGAGCATAAGAATGGAGACTACTAATTAGAAGACTATCAAACTAACAGAAACGTCAAAATTACGCATTAAAAAGTTGGAGCAACTAGATGAAATCACCAATTCGTAAACTTGAATCCTAAAACTCTAGTATATAGCTTGGTGTTTAAACCTGGAAATCAAACATCCGTAAATTGTTGCAATACTTCTTAGTCAAGCAAATGCAATGAAAAGATTGTTTTAAGATCATTTTTAATCTTCTTTCTTCCCAAGTCTTTAGCCAAGCAGCATGAAATTAGTCTAACTAAAGAACTGTCTGATATCGTGTGGTGAAAATTAGACATGCTCTGTACACTGTACTCATAATTATGTAGCAAAACCACATAGAATTTATGGTTTCTCTCGGCCAATCTTTTAAAATGACTTTAGCTCCACAATGAATCCAACATACTTTCAGCATGGCACACTTTCATACCTACTAGCTATGCAAAATTTAGAAATTGACTGCCAATCATGAACTGGTGAACTTCTAAACAGTTACCATAGACTGTTTGGAAAAAAAGTAGCAGAATTCATGATAAATTGACAAAAGCCTTGACGCTGGTATGCACATTGAAACAATGAATGGTATTTGTGTCCGGTCAACATTCCATTCACGAAACTTTCCCTCAAAGAAAAAAAGCTCCTCTGCTACTGAAGCAGTGCTCACCTCAATAACCCCAGCATTGAACATCCAATAAATGACAGTATATCAGCTACATACCGTGTGGAAAATTAAAAATTCCAGATCAATGATGAGAATGTTGAAACCCCCCATAGGCCCCGCTCCTAGGAAGGTTAAATCTCAACCAAAGGCATTCAACAAAACTTCATCGCATCTTCTCGATTACATCTCTTCTTCCGTGAAAGTTACTTTGAGTTTTAAGAACATAGCCACTCCACTACCCGTAACCAAGAAACATAATTAACCTAAGCCTCTCATCAGCCTCTCTGTGTATATCCTACACTAAGAGCAGAACATAAATAAATACTATGCCGTTCTATACAGATACATCAACACTGACATTTCACATACCGATTTCTCAGTCAAATCCAAATAACCATTTCCCGTTTGGGGGTTGTAGCTTACACATTAAAGGATTGATAAACTACTTAGACAATTACAGCAGAGACATAGGACAGGAATTATAAACACGAACTCAAATCATGAACTCATATACAAAATTTTGAAAATTTGAATGACAATCATGACGTTGCAAACTTCTAAAGAATTAGCATATCATGTTTGGGAAAAGTATCAGAATTCTAATGAATTGACATAAGCCTTCGCAAACTTATGAACAATGGGACAGTGAATGATATTTGTGTCAGGTCAACATTTCATTGATGAAACTTTACCCTCAAAGAATAAACAGCTCCTCTGCTAGTCGAGCACTGCCCACCTCATAAGCCCCAGCAATTCTCATCCTACTAATGACATTGTATAAGCTACGTACCATGTGGAAAATTAAAAAAAAATTTCAAGTGTGAAATGAGAATGATGAAAAACCCATAACACCAGGTACCTTGGCAGCTAAAATCTTGATGAAAGGCCTTCAACAAAACTTCATCACATTCTATCCCGAATACATCTCTTCTTCTGTGCAACTTATTTCAAGTTCTAAGAACATAGCCACCCGACCACCAGTAACTTAGAAACATAATCAACCTAAGTCTCTCATCAGCCTCTAAATATATATCTCATACTAAGACCAAAAGGAAATATAAATACTGTGTCGTTCTATACTGATACATCAACACTGACATTTCACATATCGGTTTCTCAGTCAAATCCAAATAACCTTTTACCGTTGGCCGGTTATAGTTTACACGCTACAGATTTAGAAACAACTTAGACAACTAAAGCAGAGACTAGAAACCCCAGTTACCAAGAAATCGAAAGACACATTGGACAGGAACTATAAGATGTAAACCTCCAAAATCACTTTTTCTTCCTCAATTTTTTCAGAAACCGATGCGAATCATAAGAAAAAAAAAATCCATGTAAACAAACACACAGAAGCAAATAGAGCTAACAAAAACAAATATGAAAAATAAAAAAAAGAAGGTAAAAATGCTTACTTTGCAATCGGTTGGTTGTCTCTGGCAAAACTTTCGACTGCAAACCTTAGGAAACTACGGCCATAACTGTTGTTAAAGCAGCTAAAATCCAACCTATCACCATTTACAAACAAGAAATTGGCATCTTTAAAGTACCCTTCTTTGTACAAATGGCTCACCACCACTTCCATATCCTGCGACAAATCTTTCAACATATTCGACCTCTCTTTTGTCAACTCTTTCCGCTTCCTACCGCTGCCGTCCGCCGCAGCCGCCGCCTTATTCGTGAACACCGAGTATAAACTGGCCTTACCCTCAGAATTGGGTTCTCTCTTCTTTGCTTTAGTTTCAGCCATTCGAATTGGCTTTCAAGCTCCTGACCTCCTTCTCCAAATCCCTCAAGCTCTTCTTCAATGGGTTGTCTTCGGCTTCGCTGTCAGAGTTTTCGGGTTTTGGGGAGAGTTCGACGGCCTCTTGAAGAGTAGGTCCAGAGGCTTTCTGGGTTTGGTTTGGTTCTCAGATTGGTGTGAGGAGGTGAAGAATCTGCGGGCGATGGAGAAGAGTGAGAGGGGTTTGTGGGTTGTTTGGGAAATGAAAAGAGGGTTTTGGGGTTTAAGGAGGAGGAGGGTTCTGAAGGGAGACATTGGGGATAGGTTTAAGGGGTTGAAGAAGTCCTCTGGGGGTTTTGTTGGGAATTTAGAGCATCTCGAACCGGACGTCAAAATTCTAGGTGGAATTATATTGTGCATGTTTGACATTAAAATTCTTTTCAACCAAAGTATTGCTGATTAGATTTGAAGTTTTGTGATTTAGAATTAAATTTGATATTAATGTCAAATTTATTTTTAATTCATTTTAATGGTGGGTTCCATATTCCACTAACATTTCAATCAATAAAAATTTTGCTTCAACATTTTTTTTAATAATTACAACCATTTAGAACTCCAGTTAAATAATAAAATAACATTTGACAATTCGATTGGGAAAGTACAAAATTTGACATAAGATTTTAAATTGTCACATTAGTCATCATTTGTAATTTGACTCTCATAATTTGACATTTCATTTAAAAATGATCTTAGAGCATCTGGTAGTTGGTAAAGAAAGGTCCTTGTATTCGGGGTCCTGCAATCGATTTGTAACATAAACTTTGGGTTAAAAGAAAATTGAAACGTGTGTGATACGAAGCTAAATAATAACGTGATTATTACTGTAAAAAGGTTGGTAGTTATATTGTGGACGTTTTATTACATTGTCAAGATAGATTTTTGTACTTCAACGTGATTGAATTACAAAATTAACATTTATTATTATACCAATGACATACTATGACACTATAGATAGATGTATCATGGATGTTATCATTAGGAAACTTTACGAGCTTACACAATATCGTAACCGTGATTCGTGTCACAACATAACCTCGTTTGAGACTGTAATCGTTCAAATTTACACTCTAAAGTTATATAATTATGTTAATGTTATATTAGTTATACCAAATGACATCGATATTACTATACCAAAGTTGCTCTTTACAAAGTGGATAAAAGAAGCTAAACAAAGTGGACAAGAAATGTATACATTCCAAAACAAACATCTACAGATCAATCCATCTTAAGATTGACAAAGGTGCTTGTGTGATTTACAACTTTGATGACAGAATCGGCCGTAAGAGCTTAAAATTGCATTTTACACAAGTTCAACCCAACAAGTCCTAGAACCCCTCTCAAGCATTAGTTCTTTGTATAACTCATCGTTATAGACAGTCATCTTAGTCAAAACTCCACCGTTGTTTAACAAATACTTGGCCACTTTCTTCACATGCGGGTATCCCTCGAATCCCCTTACAGTGATAGTTTTGAGGTGTGATATCAGACAAATAGGTACAGACTCCGGTGTAACTCCATCGATGCTCCGAGTATAAGACATCTTTCGAATAACTTTCAGTCTCGTCATAATTCTTAACACATTCCTCGTCCTGAGAAAGAACAAATGATTGAGAACAATAAATAGCTGCAGGTTGGTATGACTTTGCATGAGTGGAAATACATCTTACTTTTTTATGTTCGATGACAAGAGATTCCAAATTAGGTGATTTCTTGAGCAACTCTGTCAGCAGATCCCAGCGATAGCAATCATAAAGAACCAACTTCAATTCGGTCAAATGATCGAAAGCAGGCAGACAACGCTCCTTCACGAAATATAAAGAAATGATCAAACATAAACTCATCATACATAAACTAGACGCTCTTTCAATTCCCACAAATTATCAAATGCAGGCAGCCAGTTACCCTTTGTGAAAGGTAAAACATTGATCAAACATATGAATTAAACATTTACCGATGCATAACATACTATTTAGCATCATCAATCGCGAAAACATAATACAGGTTTGAAATAAAAACACTACTTTGGTACGAAGTAAGAACGATAAATAGGATAAAAAAGAATGGAAAAAGATGGCATGCCAGGGATGTGCTTTTGCCTCATCTAGTTTTTGATAGTGTAAGGATATGTGCAGACGAACTTAATGTGAAAAAGGAAATGAGTTACGGCATATACTTACCTCCACAAAATGAGCTGAAATAGACAGACATTTAACATTGGAAAATGCCTCCAGAAGCACAGTTGCTCTTTCCGAAACCTCATCATCCCAGAATTGCCCATGATGGTAATAGAGATCAACGCTGCCTTTGACGAGGGAGTTTAAATTCTCAAACAAATAAACAGACAAACTATCCTGCTTGATGTCAAGGTTTTCAAGCTTCGGGGCGTTAATAGAAATATCGTACATAAAATCTTTACCAACAATCATATCACTGAAGAAGGTCATTCTTAATCTCTTCAGTTCAGGCACAGAGACCTTGAAACTCAAAATTAATGCATCTCTAATAGTTGCATCTATGGACAAATCTTCAAGTACAGGGCAGCATGCGAAAAGCTCCCCCACTGAGTCGTCTTCAGGATAGTCAACTTTGACATCAAGGAACTTGAGGCTTGGGAAACAGCCTGACGTAGGAGGAGCATAGGTAATACAATTTGACTTCACCTTGAGAACCACCAGTGTTTTGGACATGAAAACGCATTGAGGCAACTCGAAAGTCGGACAAACTACATTATCACTATAAACACAAAGATCAAGTTCAACTACATTATGCCTGATGGCAGTGCAAATCCAACCTACAATACGAGAGAAATCTTCAACACGACAGTAACAATGAAGTCGAAACTTTTGAATATCCAACGAGTCACGAAGTGAAAGTATCCAATCGACAAACATCAAAAAACCAACATAGTTCGACATATATTCTTCCTTCCACGTCGTAGACATTTGTTCAAATTCGAAGTCAAGATTGGGGACAGAACCACATATACTCTTCCATCTTGTGGACAGAATGCTGGTCCTCACGGAATATTTTGTTGGAACGAAGGAGAGTATGTGACAAAGAACTGCATCCGGCAATTCACTTATCCTATCTTTACCCGTTGCTTGAGAATTCGACTTTGAACACATTTTTATGTCCCTGAATTTAAGTAAAAAGAAAAAAGGAAAAAAAAAAAAAAAAACAAGTACAATCAATTAATTTACCTTGGCAGCTATCTTCCCATGAAAAATAATCGAAGGCAACATTTTCATTAAAACTCATTTATTCTAGAATTATCAACAGAAAACAAAGAGTAGATTTTGTTCACAGGGCAAGAATTGAACTTTCTATTAACCGTTAATAATAATAATAATGTTAACAAACAGACTCGATAAGAAAAATAATCGAAGGCAACATTTTCATTAAAACTCTATTCATTCTAGAATTATCAACAGAAAACAAAGATTAGATTTTGTTCACAGGGCAAGAATTTTGAACTTTCTATTAATCATTAATCAGTTTTCTTGGTAACCAAACAGATGGTAAGGAAGTCATATGGATGAAGCAAGGTACCTGAAACGTTCTGAGCTTAATGTCCCAGTAAAAGATAGCACGAGCAGCTGTGATTGGTTGCTGAGAAACGACGGGAGAAGTGTATATATATATATATAAAATGAGAAGCTTATCAAGAACGATTGGGTTTCGACCATGTCAGCTGCTTGACTTTGAACCTTTCCAGCCTTCCCACCCACGCTTTGAAAACACTCACTTAGAAAATGAAAAATAAATAAAGAAATGAGACTCTCTATTTGGGCCCCTATTTAATATCGTGCTTTCGAGACCAACTGATATTTAGTAAGCTAAGTTCAAATGTCACTCGCATTATAATATAGTAGTATCTCTTTCTGTAAAATTATAGTGTAGTAGTATCTTTTTTAGATTCAATTTTAAGTAATGACGAGTTTGATCTAAAATATTACATAAATTATCTTCTCATATAAAAAAACATGTGTAACATTATCAATTACCCAAAGACCAAATTGAATATTCATTGCCTTATATCTATTGAGAATGCTGATATTTCATTGATTGAATAATGATAAGTCACATGAGGGTATTTATACTTACACTTAAGAAAAGTAAAAGAGGTAAAAGTAAAAACTATACAATTTACTGTAGTAACTTTCTCTTCAATATTGATGTGAGAATTATATGCACACAAATTAAATCCTCTTTTTATCAATTGTAGTGAAGAATGTAAGTAGGGATCGTTCTGGACCGGGGATTAGGAGGGATTGTTAATCACTTGGATTTGACTCAAAAACGTAATAACACAATATAAAACACCAAACTAGACCCAAAGAATGCAAAACTAAAGTTTAAAACACTAAGACAAACCAAAAGACTCAAAACAGCAAGAAAACACTTAAAACTGCCTTAAAACTACTTTCTGAGCAGTTTTGAGCACTAGAGAAGAATTTGGACGAAAATAGTTATAACTTGACTCAAGATACTTTAAAACACAAACTAAATTGATTTCTAACTAATTTGACACTCCAAGTAAAGGGGGATTTTGCTTTTGACGAATTTGAAAACAAAACTTAAAACTTTGTAAAACGAACAGATTTTCAAACGAATTTGGATTTAATGAATGGAATGAAAGCTAGCTAAGGGGTTCATCTCCACACATGTCATACTTGCACACAAAACGATTTCTAATTGCTTTTCAATAACCCATGAATTCTCAACGCCCCAGATTAACCGTGAATTGCACTAATTAACTCTCAGATTTTCCTAACGTTATTGAATTGGATGATTGCATACGACAACCCAAAGCATTCCCCACAAGTTCCCTACATGAATTGCATAATAGAGATATAAGCAAGAATCATTAAGTTATTTGAAAACCATAAGCATTGACGAAGCACTCGTTACTATGAATTGCATGAAACTTATGCCAAGAATTTACTTAACGCAATTGAGGTCATCAACTTTTACTACTTATGAATATAAGTTTGTAACAATTAGGTGAAACTTCCTTATATCCTAGCATTAGATTTATGCATGATACTTAAGCGTGCACTCTCAACCAACACACACAAATCAGTTTAATTCAAATAGATAAGTAAATTGAATTCACAACTTATGAAACGCAATTAGAGGTAATCAAATCATATAGCAAGCATGATCATGGTTTCGAATCCCCCCCTAGCCAAGGGGGGGTTTAGTTCCTCATACGTACAAGACAAAAAGAAATAAATTTAACCATTGAAATCAAAGGAGAGGAAACACCTAAAAATTCCAGCAACTCAAACTTGAATTGCATGAACGCCCAAGCCCTCTTCTCCTCCTCTTTGTTGCGGCACAAGGTCTAAGGATAGGTTTTGGGTGGTATTTGTATGGAGGAATGGATGTGTGATGGTAGGGTAGTGTTTAGGAGGGATGGGGAGTGCGGCAAGGGTTGATGGTGGTGTATGGAGGTGTGGAAGTAGGGGAATGATGGATGGGTGGTTGTAAGGTCACGGCAAAGGGTGGATTTCTGAATGAAGGTTTGAATGTTGTGTGAAGGGGTGGTGGTCTAAATGGTGCGGCAAGGGCTGTTTATATAGGCTAGTTTGGCACACTTAGTGAAGGAAAGGATTACACAATCCCATTGAAAAAGGGTTAATTCGAGGCAGAAATCAAATGGGATTGGGATAAGTTGTGCACGGCATGGATTTAGGCCCTTCTAGAAGGATAGGTGCGGCATGTGTATAGGGCTGAGATAAGGTTTCTAGAAGGGATGGTTTAGGGCAGATTCCTAAACCTAAAGGGCCTAGGACATGTGATATAAGAGTAGGAAAAGGATTGTGATTCCTAAACCTACAAGGAATGGAGTTCTTGCGGCAATTGAGGGGATAAGTCTTCTAGAAACTGAAATAGGTGTTTAAATGTGTAATTGATTCCCCCTAATTAGCTAGGTTTAAGTCCCCACCTGATTTGGATAGGATAGAATAGGATAATGTTAGAGATAGGATAGGATAAGGTTTCTAGGATAGGATAAGATAAGGTTGGATAAGGTTCCTTGTTTCTTGCTTCTTCCTTATCCTCATTGCATTAGAACTTCTTCCACCAGATTTGTAGCCTTTCCTAGCTCTTCTAATCTTCAATTTCGTCCATCCTCTTGGCTCCAAGCATATGATATCCATTCCAAGCTCTAATTTGCTCCAAAAGGCTCAAAAATGCATCCTTTTGCATACTTTGCCCTTAAATCCTGAAAATACATAAATACTTTACTAAGGAAAACTCTATAAATGCACAAGAACAAGCTAAACTAAGGTGCATAGATATGCCCCTATCAAATATCGCATAGCAAATTGTGATAAAATGTAATTAACCAAGCCATCCAAGGATTGGTATGAACTATGAAGAACCACCTTGTTTGGTGCAAATATTTGCCTTTTCCATTAGCTTTAGGATTCTATCTCTAATCCCCTCCCCTTCTTTCTCCGTCATTATTTTTTTAATTGTTCTTTCAATCTCCCCTCTATCCATCCCATGCTCCAACTGTCACATATTCTAGGCTCGACTCCGCCATCTGCAACTCGAATCTCACAAGTTTTTTGAAAAAATTTCAAACTTGCATAACTTCTTCATTTTAAGCCATTTTCTGATCGCCTCCGTCCACTCTTTGGACTGTAGTGTCCCACATCACTCAAAGAGAGAGAATCCTCTATGCCTTATATGTACATGCTCACCTCCCATTGCAAGACGTGTTTTGGGAACTCACTGGCTTTGGATCCCATAAGAACTCTGAAGTTAAGCAAGTTTGGACAAAAGTAGTCCTAGGATGGGTGACCCTCTAGGAAGTTCTTGTGCTGAAACCCAAGAACAAATTCGTGATGGCGTGGCCCAAAACAGACAATATCTTGTTATGAGGACTACAATGTGACACCAACTGCAACCCAACTTTCCACAAATGACTCACATATCCTGCATTTGCCATTTAATCACTTAGACATGGCAAACAAATCATAGGAACCCCCTCACAAATACTCTCCAATCTAGAGTTCCAACCATTATCAGTCCAAAACACTCCAACGGCTTGATATGCCAACAATTCTTTTTGTAGAGCCCATTTCACGATGTGGCCTTTTTAATTCAAGATCTGGAAAAATGCATTAGGCAACTGTTTGACCCATATTGACCCATGAACTAACCTAGGTCGAACCACCCACAAAAATGGTCGGTTGCTATTGGATAGACCCCATGCTATCTCCAAAAATAGGGTTGAATTAATTGCAGCAATGCTCCTAAAGCGCACATAGATGACAGATTGTGGTGCTTGAGTGTTCAGCCATGGAATGCAACTTTGGCCTTGTGATAATAAGTTGCTGCTTGAAGAATTGCTTGCAGCAAAGCACTTGTGAAACGGGCCTACGGAAAAATTGGAGTGTCGAATCCTTGGCGGATTGTGGCTAGTGAATTTCCTTCAAGGTCTTCAAAAGTATTGAAAATGATACCACAGGAGGCTTCGACTCCCTTCTTCAGGCCAAAAACTGATTCATAGAATTTTTGTGGCTCCTTTGTTTTGAGCACAGGAAGGTCTTTGACTTTGAAAAGTGGAAACTATAATATTGGCTCTTCTAGTCGAGAATCTGTTGATCTCAACATAGAAAGATATGCATGCAAATATAAGTATGTAATTGTGCTAACCCTAAAAATACAAGTATATATTAACATATAATTATCTGGATTGTACCTAATAATACCATAATTTTGACTCGGTATCATGTTTTTTTTCTCTTTTTAATACAATGATATTTTACTTATGGGGAAAGAGTGTTTCTTGGTCACACTAATGAATAAGTCATAACTAAATATCGAACTTAAAACAAATCACAAATTATTTACTATGTGAATTGAACTTGATATGGATACATTTATTGACCTTTCGGCTAGATCAACTGATCTAGTACTATTGACTGGCCACCCTTCACTTATTAATTAGCTAGAAACCCAAGGATTTTCCCAACTTATTTAAATTGGTTTATTACGTAAATCACATGCACATTACAATTCTTCGATTTCTCATAAATGGCATATATAGATCGAAGAATTACTAATAGATTGACGTCAAGTTCGATAGAATAGAGCAACCAACCCCAATTAATTAAACAATAACAGTAGATGGACTCAAGATCTTAATTATTTTATATACCGTGATGTAACACTTGATGATAAATAAATTATTTCTTCACACATCTTTTCTTACTTTACACGCCTCTACTTATCTTTTTTTCTTTCTTTAATTGTTTTTGGATGTAATAAACTTTCTAAAAATCAGAAATAATAAGACTGTGCATAGGTAAAAAATGGATGTCGAATTTACACTCTCGACAAAAATACGAAGGGGATGTATACGTACCTGGATTGGAAAGGAAATTTTGAAAAGAAACTCTTAAGAAACCACACAGTTACCTTGTATGGGGAGGTAACCCTTTTCAGCAGAAGTGGAAAAGCAGCATAAGCAAGAAAGGAAGACCCAGCCGAAGTCCTCAACAAAACCCTTGGGAGCTTAAGGTTCTCAGCAACATGTTGAGTGAAACTAAATAGAAGATCAGATATCAAACAAGCAACAGGCTCCTGATCATCAACTGATAGCAACCTAGCCAAATATTCACCGAAGGGTTCAAACTTCAAAGCAATTGACGTTTAGAAGCGAAATGAACGCCATAACATCGTTCGTGGAGGCCTCGGTGTAGGGTTGAGAGAGTTGAATG